TTTCTTTTTTTTTTTTTTAGAATCATGTGCTTTCAAATTAATGGAAGTTGTTTAATCACATATAATTAACCATAAATCTTGTGAATGGTAATATTATTAATCTATATCAAATTAATGGAAGTTGTTTAATCACATATGATTAACCATAAATCTTGTGAATATTATCAATCTATATTTTATAATTTAAATTATATAAATTATATCTTGTGAATGGTAATATTATTAATCTATATTTTATAATTTAAATTATATAAATTATATCATGTATGGTAATGGTAATATTATTAATCTATATCAAATTAATGAAAGTTGTTTAATCACATATGATTAACCATAAATCTTGTGAATATTATCAATCTATATTTTATAATTTAAATTATATAAATTATATCTTGTGAATGGTAATATTATTAATCTATATCAAATTAATGGAAATTGTTTAATCACATATGATTAACCATAAATCTTGTGAATGGTAATATCATTAATCTATATCAAATTAATGGAAGTTGTTTAATCACATAAATCTTGTAAATGGTAATATTATCAATCTATATTTTATAATTTAAATTATATAAATTATATCTTGTGAATGGTAATATTATTAATCTGTATTTTATAATTTAAATTTTGATTTAATATATTGATAGGCAAATTGTAATTTTAGGTAGAAACTGTTATTTATGCGTACAACGAGCCATTAAGAAGTTTCTCTCTCAAAATTGGATGGATGGGTCGTTCTCCTCGAGGATTCCTCGCTTCTCCTGCTTCTTCTTTCCCCTTATTTTTCCATCCGCATCCAGCAGCCAAGAAAGAGTCTATGTATATATATATGTGCAGAAAGTCCACGTGTCGCGTGATTTGCTGGGGATTCCCGATCGATCTCTCCTGCTTACGATGCACTTTTATTTTGTAGCTACAGTTCACTGCGGATCAATCGATCGCCCCCCCTTCATCAAAGGGAGAAGACTTTAATTAAAACACGCGGTTTAAATTTCAAATACGCACACTTGTAAAGAAGAAAAGAAATATTTCGTGTAATGATTCAGTTTCACCGAAACAACAACCCCACCGTTTTAAGATTAATGCCACGCAATTACGTTGCGTAACCCCTCCCTCGGGGAGTTAAGGTCACGAACTTTGCACAACAACTCCGCCGAGATCGAACAACGAATACTCGATCACTCGTTGAATTCAATTTCAAAACGTTAAGTCTCCTTTATCTTTATTATAAATACACTGATTTTTAATGTATCTACTTAATCCAGATTCACTCGAAAACTTTTCACAGGGGATTTCCCTTCCTACAACGACGACCTCCTCTTCCGTTCATTTCTTCCAGAAGTTCAACACCAAGTTCAACATTTCTCTCACTTCGAACGCGATCACGTGAAGGGGCAAAAGAGAGCGTGAAAGGCAAAAGAAAAAAAAAAAAAAAGAAAAAGAAAAGAAAAAGAAAAAGATCACTATTCCACTCGTTCGATTTCAGAAGATTATTAGATCACGAGGAGTTCGCGATCAGACGAGGAAGAAAGATGTGAGAAAAGGGGGAGGGGGAAGAAGAAGAGAAGAAAAGAAGAGGAAGAGGAGGAACGTATTGGAGGGTCGATTGATCGTCCATCGACGGGTCTCATTCGAGATAAGAGTGGACAGCCGCGATGGTATACATATTCATGCGTCCTTCGACGATGGCGTCCCGACGTCGAGTGTGTGTCGTTCCGAGGGACAGCCACGAACCACGCTACCCCCGGCGCCGCAGTCGTCGTCCACGTCGTCGTTCTCCTGCCGGCATCGACGCCCCGTGTCAATGAACCGACGCCGGCTAAACGAACACCGAACTTGTTGCACTCGTGGCCAAGGAGGCTAAGCCTCGAACTAACCCTTGTCTTCCGTTCGAATCACCTCTTCCGATCGATGGAAATAAACCCAAGTGGATAAAGAATGGTGGATGAAGCGAAATTTGAGGATCGAACGTTATTATCCGAGATAAATGTCGTCCGAATGAAAATGAAATCCAAATATATTGGAAAAATCAACAATCAAGCATTGTGATCAAAATTTAACAGAATTTTATACATGTATATATATATAATTCAGAATTTAAATTGTATATCAAACAAATAGGATAAGGAAGAGAGGAATTTATGATAAACTTGATTTTTATGAAAATGAAATCATGAGAGAAAGAATCTGTATAATAAAAATGTTGTCCAAATGAAAATGAAATCCAAATATATTGGAAAAATCAACAGCATTGTGATCAAAATTTAACAGAATTTTATACATGTATATATATATATAATTCAGAATTTAAATTGTATATCAAACAAATAGGATAAGGAAGAGAGAAATTTATGATCAACTTGGTTTTTATGAAAATGAATATTGCGACAGAGTTTGGAAAATCATGAGAGAAAGAATCTATATAATAAGGGTTTTGCGTGCAGAAGATTGCAATTTCTAAGAAGGAACGTGTATTTAAAAATTTCGCGCAGAAGCGTCATACATTTGCATATGTCAGTTTGATATGCGATAATTTAGACATTTAATAAATGTTGAACAATCTCAACTGGAAATGTTCAAATTATGTAAATTGGATCGGGTTTTTCTTTAAACGAACGAGTGTTCAACCAAATGGAACTTTGATAATTAAATTCCTCTGATAGGGAACATTCGATGCGAAATATTCGATTAAAACAGAAAAGTGTGAATCAAAAATAAGGAAACGTTTAACGTTTTACTGATGTACAATTGAAGTTTTAAGGAACAGAAATTAAAAACGAGTTCTATTTTTCTTCCATGTTCGATATCTTTCTTTAATCAATCCCTCGACAGTTTACATTTCGTGGAGCAAGAAACACCGGACTTACCGGACTAGGATGATTAGCTGC